CATGAATTCAATTTTTTGTACATCTAAATAGATACTACTAAAATAATTAGGTTTAGATAAAGGATGTTTTTCTAATTTAAAGTAAATGAGAGGTTTTTCTTAAATATCATAACTTTTTATTTTCTTTACAATAGGTACAATTATATCATTCTTCTCCTCAACACTAAACATTTATACTTCCATATCTTATATAATTTATTCCAATTCAAAATTATTTCTTCTCTTTTACAAAAAGAAATCAAAATTCTTCCACAATAATGTAAATCCTTCCTCTAAATTCTTATGTTTTCTCAATAATTTTAAACTACCTTTAACAATTGACAATCTAAATTCCAAATAAACATAAGTTTCTTCATCCATAAATGCTGATGGTTTATATGCTTTTTCGATCTCTTTCTTAAATGCCTGTTCAATTTGATGATGTTCTTTTGCTCTCTCAAATATTTCTAAAGCTTATTTTGCCCACATTTACAATGTAGTTATTGAAGTCTTTATTACAATCTATTAGTACTATCTTAATTCTCTATGTTAAGATTTTAAAAGAGCAGATGGTGTTGTTTTTCTTTATAATGCATTCATTTCAAATTCAAGAAATCTTTTTCTTCTTATTTCTAATATCTAAGTTTTGACGAGATATTAAAATAAAGATCTAAGATAAAGTGAATTAGTTTCCATTTTAAAAAAGTCTTATTGATATGGTCTCATTACAGATGTAAGATATTAATCCATTTATTATTTTGCATTGTATTAATAAAGATTAAATATGGATACAAGTTTTAATATTTCCTTATATTATGTATGTTTGATTTTGAAATCCATCTCTTATAATTCTACTTTAATTTTATATTCTGGAACTTTACGAAAATGTTAATATGTTTATACAACATTAGCCACTGCATTTAGACAAAATATATATTTAGAGGATTTTGATGTTTTAATACCAATAGTTAAATTATCTGGTTCATAAACTAATTCCTATTATAATCTGGATTATATTCTTGCTTGCATTTTTTCATCAATTTAATATACTGTACGTTGATGAAGATCCAAATCAATTTTATAAGGGTCCATTTTACTAACAACTTTTTGAATATCAACATTTTTATATTATTAAGGTTTTATTATGCTACTTAAAATGAGATAATGATCATCTGGATTCCAATATATTGCTAGTTTAGATAATTGTATTTATTTATTCACAAAAGTAGAATCCTTACGTTCATGAATATATGGATTAGATGCCTATGAAATTTTCCATTCTGAATCTACTGTCTATTAAGTTATATGATTAATAGTTATTCCCCATGAAAAAGAATGTTTGCTAATACAATGTTCATAACGAAAATGCACATCAGAAATTGAAATATAAAGATTATCAACTATTCTTGTAATTTATTTTTGAAAAAATCCTGCCTCTTTTTGATCAGACTCCTGATTATCTGTTGTTGTCTCTTATTTCCTATTTTCTTCATCCATCACTTTCTTAATATAAGCTCTAACTTATGCTGCTTTTGGCTTATAATAATTTATCTCCTCTAATCCCCACATTTCTTCAGAAATAGTAGTGACTAATAAGAAAACACTATGAATCTTTATTTCTGTTCTTTAAGTAGTCAATTTATTCCACGGAAGATTTATTTCAATTCTCTGTATTGAACTGTATACTAATTCAATTGGTAATTACAAAGCTTCAAGAGCTTCCTTCTTTATTGAAACATTCTCAATAACCAAATTACCCTTAAAAAATGACAAATTAATTTGTTTCTTGTCAAGTCCATCGATAAATCGACCAAAGATAGCTAACAATACTTTCTATATAAGACCTTCAAACATTTAATATATATTAATTCACACAAACTACTTACTACTTTCTAAATCATCTTAACTAATAAATTTCATCCAAACATTACTATAGACAATCAATAATTATAAATATACAAATTAGTAAATTTCAATTGAACACTATGTGGTTTATGAAATTTTTAATTAATTTTATACTATTGCCTTATTACTTTTTACTTCTTCATTTAAATATTGTATTGTTATAATTACAATATTTAAGATATTACAATATATCTATTTTTAATAATTTAATTAATTCTACTTAGTAGAAATCATATTTATAATGATTGATATATATATATAATATAAAAATTCAACGTCTTATTTTTTTAGATATAGATCTTTTTGCTTTATCCATCTCTTATAATACTCTTTACATATTTTCACGATGTTCTAATTTATCTATATTAACAATTTCCATAACATGAACTTGAAATCTATTATTAGTTTCTGCTATCAACTCTACTTCATTTGATAAATTATTTAATCTATCATCCAATGTTTTAAGTAATTATTAAACTGCACCTAAATCACTTTCTGTACATTCATTGCTTTTCTTTTTTTAATTTCTTTTATTAATTTATTCACTCTTCTCTAAATTTGTAGTTAGTTATGAGAGTATTTTCTCACTTTATTAAAGAACATTTATTAATTAATTATTAAGTTGAGTATTTTATTCAATCAATGGTCTTATAGCTTTTTCTTAATCATTTATAACATTTTAGAAGTCATTAAATTTGACTACCATCATTTGTTGTAATTGTTCTAAAATTCTATATACTTCTGATATTTGAGGTACTTGTTGTTCTTAATAGAAAGATTCATTTAAATTTTGTCTTTTTGTTGAACCTAAAAATTAGCTAATATTCTCTTTCTCATATTGAGTTTAAGAAAAGGATTTTGTTTGTTAGGCTTACAATTAACTAAATAACTCAATCTACTTACTTATGGAATGAAATATTCATTGCTTATGGTACCTATTATTAAGGTTGTTGACCTCTTCTAAAAGCTTATGAAAACATTTTACTTCAAAAATTAAATTAAAAATAATTTTCTATATGAACATTTATCAATAATTTTAGGAATTCATTTCTAACTAAATATTTAGCCATAAATTTAAAGTAGAAAGGAATTTTAAAATTTATTAATTAATTCTTTTTGATTTTTTAGATAGATTGGAATAATTATTATAAGAATATCAATTTAATCTATGATTTATTTAAAAATAATTTACAAAAACAATTTTTACTTAAATTAATAATTATATAATATTGTAAATGAGTTTCTATTAAGAAAGTGGAGTAATGATTTATATTGTATAAATATTTTTATTTAATATTAAAGAAAATTAATTCATGGAAACTTTTAAAAGAGGACCTTAACGTTTGACAGATTAGGAAGTTGATGAATTGATGAAAAAATAACCACATCTATTAAAATAAAATTATGATCAAATACCAAATCTAACTCCTAATTCACAAGAAGTAATTAGTAGATAGGCTACAATTAATGTGGGTACAATTGGACATGTAGCACATGGAAAATCAACTCTTGTGAGATCTATATCAACTATAAAGTATTTGATATAGTAATACATTAAAGCACTGTACGTTTTAGATAAGAAAGAGTCAGAAATATTACAATTAGATTGGGTTATGCTAATGCAAAAATATTTAAATGTCCTAAATGTCCTGAACCACAATGCTATCAATCATTTTCAAGTGAGAAAGAAGACAATGCTTAATGTGATTTATGCAAAGAAGTGATGACTTTAGTCAGACATATATCTTTTGTTGATTGTCCAGGACATGATATTCTAATGTCTACAATGTTAACTGGTGCTGCTGTTATGGATTGTGCATTACTTATTGTAGCTGCCAATATGCCTTGTCCTCAACCTTAAACTTAAGAACATTTGGTTGCCTTAGTCATCACAAAATTAAAATATGTTATTGTCATCCAAAACAAAGTAGATATTATCTTTAGAGATCAACAAGTAATTTCATTAATAGTGAAGTAAGGCTGCTCTAAGAAATTATGAAGAAATTACAAGATTTATTAAAGGAACCATTGCAGAAGATTCACCAATAATACCAGTATCTGCTTAATTGAAATACAATATTGATTGTGTTATCTAATAAATTTGCAACTTTTTCCCTATTCCAGATAGATAATTATAAGTACCACCAAAAATGATTATTATTAGGTAATCAATTATTATTATTATAGATCATTTGATGTTAATAAACCTGGTGAAAAACCTGAAAATTTACATGGAGGTGTAGTAGGAGGTTCAATTTTATAAGGAATTCTTTCAGTAGGAGATGAAGTTGAAATTAGACCAGGTAGATAATGTAAAAATGGAAATTAAACAACTTGGCATCCTATTACTACCAGAGTTGTTACTCTCTTTGCTGAATAAAATGAATTAGTTTATGCTGTTCCAGGAGGACTTATTGGAGTTGGATTATTAATTGATCCATCTTTAACTCGTAATGACAATCTTGTTGGATGTGTATTGGGATTTCCAAAATAATTACCTGAACTCTATAGAGAATTAGAAGTATGAAAAAATATAAATTTTAGATTAATTATTATTTGATGGTTTCAGTTGTTGGTGCTCAATAACAAGATGGAAAAACACAAAAGATTGCTAAGATTTAATAGGATGAAATGTTAAAATTTAATGTTTTATCAAATGAAACACCAGGAAGAGTTATTGAAGTTAGAGAAGATGTATCATAAATATTTATTCTTATTAGAAAATAATGAGGGTTGCTCTCAATAATCCAGTATGTACTGGTTTATAGGAGAAAGTTGCATTTAGTAGAAGATTAAGTAATAAATTTAGATTAATTGGATGGGGTATTATTACAGATGGAAGAACAATAACATTATGAAATGTAAAATATAAAACATATATTAACAATCTAATCAAACTTCTGTTATGATATTATAATTTCTTTATTTATTCATCTTAAAATAATATTCTCAATTACTTTTAAGATATGTTATTTTTTATTCTTAATTATGATATTGATCTTTTTTAAATAATAGCAAAAAATAAGAAATATATATAGTATTTCTTAAGTTATTTTTAGTTTTAATTTAGTTTTAGTATTTCATATTTCTGAATAATATTAAAGAATACTTTTGAATCAATAATTTTTCAGAAACTTATAGGTTTTATAAATGTTCCCTTATAATAGAGAATACCTATTTTGATTTAATGAATAAAGTTCAATTAATTTTGAGTTGAATTCTTAAAATTTTTTCTCTTAAATCATTTGCATTATATTATATTATCATGAGTTGAATATATTTTATTAAATTCTATTGAGAAGATAAAATTCACATACAAATGAGAGAAAAGTTCATTTATTAACTATTACGATTAATCCATTTGTCTTAATTAAATAATAAATAGCAATATTTTATGGAAAATTATCAATTCTAAATACAATATACACTTAGCTAAAGTGTATAATCAACACACTAATCTAAAAATGAATTATTGGAATAGTTATAATTTATGTAAAATGAAACACTATAATTTATTAATATAGAAGAATCTGACGAAGAAATAGACATAACTAAACAGAAATAAGTTAAAACATAATTATTTTGTAGAAGAACATCTATTTAAGAATCTTCAGATAGTTCATTTAAAAAAAATGATATTTATCCTGATCAAACGTAAATCAAATAACAAGAACAGTAAATTTAATAAAACAAATAACCAAATGCTTTACAAATAAAAAGATCTATGAAAAGAAGTCAAACTGCTTTTAATAAAGATTTTGGAACATTTGCAAAATAACATGGGTCAAAAATATTTTTAAAGCGAGCGAATTAAGCAATAATTAATAATTTTGAACAAATAAGAAAATAAAAATCAATTATTACTAATAATATTAGCTAATTTGGAAAATAGCATCTTAGAACTATTTAAGTTAAATATTTTAGAACAAATCTTTCAAAAGTCTTATTTATTGAAAAGGAAATGACTGCTATAGAATTTATTGTACTTGCATTAAAAGAGTATTCACTTGAAAGAAGGTTTGATTAAAATTTATTTGAATACAAGAATTACACTCTAGCCTATCAATTAGAAACTTTAGAAGATCAATTTGAAATTGATGATGATCGTTTCAGAAGACCTATATAACGTACAAAAAGCTTTATTGATAAGGAAGAAGATAATATTGCAGTTAGAAGAGCCAGCTGTGATGAAGTATGATAAGAATATTAATTATAAAGAGAGCAATTGCATCCTAAGTTGAGCATTCTTTCTCAGATTATGAAGATAAAACAATTACTATTGATTATCCAGTTGTTTTAAGTTGTAAATAAGTAGATATTGTTGTCAATTCAAATTGTTAAACAACCTTTGGTATAGATCTAATGACTCTGAAAAAAACATATGAATTATTTCCTTAATATATCATATTATTGATAGAAGATGCTTAAACTAGATCTAATTAATAAATTACATGTCCCAATAATTCAAATCTTGAAAATGTATTTGATTCATTCAATAATGGATTAAAAAGGAAAAGATCTTCTAAAGATTACTTTTTAAGATTAAAATATCCATGTATCCATATTGGTATTGATCCATTATGCTTAGATACTCCAATTAATTAATTACCAATTCATTGGTTAGTATTGGAAAAAAAATAAATTATTGAAATCTAAACTCCAAATCTAATGGAGTTAAGTAAGAAATTTTCAAATTTCTAATAACCAAATTATTATGAAGATGGATTTATATCTTATAATCAACAAGATTTACAAATGAAAATGGAATCTATCCAATATTTTACTTCTCTATATTCTTATTAAGAGTTTTAAGTGATGCAATTAGAAAAGAAATAATAATATCAAGTTTTAATTGGAATTGATTATTTTGACATTAGAATCTTTTATGTCAATCATTAGAATAACTTATTCCCTCATTATTCTATGTTCTAGTATATAAAAAATTATATTGTAGATATGTTCAAGAGTCACAAAAAAGAAGAGAAAATTATTAAATTAAAGTCAATCAAAAAATGTTCTTTAGATGAAAAATAAAATAAATTCTATTTCATATATAAAAATTCTGTAAGTATTTTAAAACAATTATGCTTTATACCAGAATAAAGTAATGATAAAAGAATTTAAATTTAAGTTAATAACTAATTTTTTGAACTTTATTAAAAATTAGATAAATTATTAGGAATTAGAAAAAATAATTAAAGAATAAATGAAAATTGAAAATGATTTAAATGATAATTATTTTATGAATAATATTTATTTAAAATATACTTAATCATTCAAGTTGTAGAAAGTGAAATTCTGAATTTAATTTTGTTGTTAATATATTCTCATAAGAATAAAATATTACAGTAGATAATTGAAGTTAAAAATATTTAAAGATTAAAAATTATTATTAAAAAAGAGTAATATTAATAGTATAAATTGTATTTAATATTATAATAGAATATTATTTTAATAATTAAGAAATTTGTTCCTAATTTAATCAATAGAAATTGAAAGATTAATTTTAAAAAAGGAGGAGAAAATTATAAGTATTAATGAAATTATTCAAAATTTAATTTTATTGTAAAAAATAAAATCATTTCTCAAAAATAATTATTATTAGGCATCCAAACCTTTTTTTATTTAATTTTTGGTAGACTTAAAACTTTATTTAATTACCTTTCAGTTTTTGGTTTCTCAGATATAATAGATATATTTTTATTAAAATATCTTAAACATTGATCAGTAGGTTTAAATACTTTCACTTACCTTTATTCTAAGATCTGTTTTTTAATTTTTCCAATTAAGAGGCTGCTTTTCTATTATTTAATTTATGTTATTTTACTTCTTTCTATTCTATTTCTTGTAAATGAATAAAATTCTTTTCCCAAAATTCAATACGATCAGCCTCTCTCTAACTTAAACATCTTTTTCTTACAGGAGGAAATTCACTTTTTAATTTATTTGATGGTCTATCCAATTAATGTATTACTACTGTAATTAAATTTGATACTATATGATGGATTTTAATTTCTTTCAGGAGAAACCAATTATGATTTTTAAAGATCTGTTAATTGTGGAACATCCTTATTAATAAAAACAGATTTATTATCAAATAAATCTTTTTCCTTGATCTAAATTATAAATGAGGGGCGATTTAATGAATTAGCAAAACTTGAAAATCTATTTTTATGATGTTTCTTAGCTAATTCATTTCTTATTTTTTATATCTTTTTTTTCTCTTATTCCTTTTCATATTCAACAAATTATTGTGCTAAATAATCTGATAAATCTTTAATCTTTTTCTTTGTTTCTTAAATCTATAAATGGGACTATTCAATTTTCAAAAACAGTTACAGTCTCTTTAATTGAAATGGGATCCTTCATTATATATATTTATAATAATTGGTTTTAATAATATTAATTTATATATATTTATTAAACAATAGGGATCTTTACAGTCAAGGATTTACTGGATAAAATGGTTTAGAATTCAAATTTAATTTTCTATAAAAATATATAGATTAAGAATTACTTTCGTTATCGTGGTTATCCATCAGTATTTTAAGGTGCTTATTAAAATTGATCACTATTAATATCATTTCCATTTTTTATTTCATTAATCTTTTTTTATTAAGGAATGAATTTTTCAGGTTCTTGCAAAAATGAATCTGGATGTTAGACTTAGGATAAATTTGGGAAATTTTGATTAGAAAACACTTAAATAGGAGTTGGCATTTATATCATTCCATCATTTGGCATCCAATTCTAATCAAAATCATCATCAAATTTCATCATAGGAGGCATTCCTAAAATAGGTCCAGAATTCATTAAATTAGGAGGGTACTATTATCCCATAGGCATTGTTGGTGGAAAATCTGGAAAAGGATTTCCCATAGGTGGAGGCATCATAGGAGGACAAAACATTTAACCATCAAATTAATTTTGAGGAGGTTGCATCATCATATGATTTTTATTAGATTATTTTTTCATTTATGGAGGAGGTGCCATTTATATAGGCATAGGCATTTAAGGCATATTAGGCATTTAAGGCATATTAGGCATTTAATTAAATTTTGGTGGCATCATTTAATTCATTCTCATAGATCCAATATTAGGTCCCATAGGGAAGGTAGGTTCTAATGGTTCCATTCCTAAATTAGGTCCAGGAGGAAATCCGAGAGATTATGGTGCTCCTAAAAGATTTGAATTAAATGGAGTAATTTAAGGACCTAAACCCATCATTCCTGGAGGAGCAAATCCTAATGGAGTTGTGAAAGTTGGTCCTGAAATATTAAGAGGATCTGGTAAATTGTTTCTACCCATTTATTATTAAGGAAATGAAAATGGAACAACTTTAAAAGGATCAAAGATTTCAGCAGAATTTTAATTCATAAAATCAGGTTAATTATTAATGATTCCCAAATCTTATTAATTTTTATTGTTTTTTGGTTTTTTTTTCTTATTTTTTTTCTTTTTTTCCTTGTTTTTTTAATCATTTGAATTATTTGGAAAATTTTGATTATTGTTAGGGATTAATTTTTAATTATTAAATTAATTTAATGGTTAGGTCTAAATAGGAAAAGTTCCTCTAGTAAGAACTGAGGATGAAAAATGTTAATCATAATTCATTTAGCCATCTGAATCATTATCTTATAATTAATTTAAGATATCCACAAAATCAGAAGATTTGTCTTTATCTACTAAACCAGGAGGAGGTGCAACTATTGGTTAACTTGGGATAGATAATGGTTTATTAAAATCAGGAGGTAAAACAAGCTCAGAATCATAATTCTCTTAATTTTAAGTAATAGAAATTCCACAATTTATCAAATGTTATTATAGTTTTTCTAATTCACCTAATTATTAAATAGATATTTCCTTTCTAATTTATAAAAATAAATTTGTACTGTTATTAAGATTATTATTACTACTTATTACCTTTCTTTTCAGGTTTCTTTTTAGGTTGTTAATCTTTTTTTGGTTGATATTCTTTCTTTTATTATTAAAGTGGCTATTATTTTTTAGGCTCATAGATATATTATTTTTTAGGTTCATCTAATTTAAATAATAAGTATATAATACTTTTTGTTTTTGTGAAAACAAAGCCACCAAATTTATCAGATTAATTCTCATCATCATCTTCTTAAGGATCTTCTAATTAATCATCTCTATTACGTTTGATTTTAGGTTATTAAACATAAGCTTATAAATCATTTCTTTTTATACATGATTAAATACCTTTAAATTTTAGTATATTTATTTTCTTATCTTTAAGCAATGTCTTATTCACCTTCTTAAGGTGAATTTCTTCTTCTTTATTTCACCTAAAGATTATCTGACATCACAATTTAAAATAAAATAGATAATAATATATATAATTATTATTTATATTAACTTTACATCTTTTTTGATATTTAAATAAAAGTCATTAAATATCTCATATGTTCAATTTCACAGCAAATCCAAAAGGATAATCCTTTGTACTAAAGGGTATTATTGTAGACATTCGATATTCTAACCTAAAGTCTCCAAAATTAATACATTTTGCTATATTTCTATATTAAACTAATGGAAAGACTCTTTTTGTTTATATTATAAACACTGTAAAATTATAGGTTTCTATACTATTTTTATAATCCAATAAGACTATGAAAATGTTTATGAGAATCCAATGAGATTGAAAAACCAGCACTCATATTCTTATTAATAATTTTTGAACATTCTAATTCACAATTCCTTCCTTTCAACAATGAACTTCTAAATTATATAATTTTTTGTTTATCATTGAATTTATAATTAAAATGCAATGTTGAAAATTTGAATGATTATTTTATAAAATCTAATTCCATATCTCCTGAAAAGTCAATATGTTAATTATCAAATTTCCTTGCAATCTTTGATGATAAATGGAAATTCTAATTATTTATTCTTGATGCTATCAATAAATATAATTTTATTTACATAAAGAAATTTCATTCTATAATATTCTAAATGAATTATGAACATAAAATCTTAATTTTTCTCCATAATTACTAAAATTAAGTTCGAAATCTAAAGTTTTGCTATAATTATAATAAAATGTAGATGTGGAGCTCTTATATTTTTCTATTAAGTACTTCCTATCTGCCTTAAAATGAATAATTTAATTTTGTTAATGGTTTTTTTTCACCTTCAATTATTTCTTATATTATAGGAATAGAAAATGAAGTTGATTATTTAAAATTCTTTTTTGATGAATTGATAGTATGAGATACTTAACCATTTGCTTTAATTCTAATTTTAAACTTTCTAGATAAACTAAAGTCTGTATCAAATATGTTGTTAGACATAATTAAATAAATTATTTTATATTATGAATGATCAGAAACCTTATTTAATCTTGGAGCATCCACATGCACAAAATCCTGTCTTAATTTTCAAACAAAAAACATTGTCTAATAAAGAAATAATATATATTTCTCATATTAAGATTAAGAATCCAGTTGAAAATAATTAGTAATTATGTAATATATACTTCTTTAGAAGTTTGGCATTTAAAGTTATGTCCACAGCTGCAGAACAGATTAAATCTTATCCCTTTGTAGGAATATTAAAGATGGGAGAAAGTAAAACAATCAAACTGATAACCAAGGAAACTAGTTTTGATAGTACCTACTTTTTGTAATTTTAGAGGCTGTTAAAGTTAGAATAGTCTCAATGAATATTGATAAGCCTTAAGAAATAAAGGATTAATATGAAATAATGGATTAATTTAAATTGCTCAAAGATTAGATAAAGGATCTTCCATCTATCATTCTCTAAGTATAAGAAATTATTCAATCTGAATCAGTCTCATATGTAATATCTTATAAGTACTAATAGTGATTTACAGATTACTTAACCAAGTGATAGAAGAATCCCTATGTTTACTTCACATGTTTCATAAATCTAAAATGGAGAAAGCACTCCTGCTTCTGCAATTTTAAAATCAGTGATTAGTTAAAGAAAATAGAAAGATTCTTTGCAAATATCTTAAAACTTTTAAATGGAATAAACTATAATGAATTTGTAGGATCAATAATAAGCCCTTATTAATGAGACAAGAGAATTAAATAAATAGATTGTTCTTTTTAAAGCAAAATAAAATATACCATTTGAAGATGAAAAAGATGATTAAGTCAAATTTACTTTGTTTTAATTAATTGTAATTGCGTTCATTAGCCTATTGATAGGATTTTATATGCCTGAATTTT